TGAGCCCTCTGTCCGGCTCTCTGCTGGGTGAGGAGTTTGCCCCCCCCGCCCTGCTCGTGCTCTCTTTCTTAAATAATCTTATATTTAAAAAAGATTTAATTCTTAAACACTTTTCTTCTTTTATTCCCTCTGGCCAGTATAATTATCATTTTCTTAGTCTGGGCTGTTAAAAATACCATGGACTAGGTCACCTAAAGAACAGATACTTCTCACAGTTTTGGAGGCTGAGAAGTCCAAGATCTGGATGCCAGCACAGTTGGATTCTGGTTAGAACTCCCTTTCTGGTTAGCAGATGGCCATCTTAATGCTGTTGTCCTTAAGTGTTGGAGAGTTGAGAAAGAGAGGGAGCAGGCCATCATGTCTCCTGTAAGGGCACTAATAGCATTCATGAGGGCAGAGGGCTGTACTTCCTGATACCATCACATTAACTGTTAGGATTTCTTTCTTTTTTTTTTTAATATCTATCTATCTATCTATCTATCTATCTATCTATCTATCTATCTATCTATCTATCTATCTATTATTTATGATAGTCACAGAGAGAGAGAGAAGCAGAGACACAGGCAGAGGGAGAAGCAGGCTCCATGCACCGGGAGCCCGACGTGGGACGCGATCCGGGGTCTCCAGGATCGCGCCCTGGGCCAAAGGCAGGCGCCAAACAGCTGCGCCACCCAGGGATCCCAACTGTTAGGATTTCAACATGAATTTTGGGGGGACAGGCATTCAGTCCCTAAGTCATGTTTTTGGTAAAATCAATATTTAATATTATGACTAATATGATAAATGAGCCATATATTTCCTCTCATTTCATAATTCCATCACTTTTCCAAACTAATTTTGTCATCACCTTTCAGTATGTTCAGACACATGAAATATTGTCAGTTCCGTTTATTAAAGACATTCTTTTTGGATATGTCCTCTTTTTCCAGAGTACTTGTCCTCTAGACTTGCTGCACAGTTGTCTTGAATTTAATTTCCCCATTAATCTGGTGAGAATGCCTTTCTTTTCTTCCTGCAGTAGCTTCTTTAGAATAGGGTGGGTGAGTGTTCATTTTTAGACCTCTCATGTCAGCTATCTTCATTCTACTCTCAAAATTTATTTTTCTGAGTATGGAATTTTAGGTTGGAAGCCATTTTTTTTTCCTGGAATATTCCGGGCATTGCTTCACTGATCCTAGTTTTCAGTGTTGTTGCATACATGTAACATACCTAAATCCAAGGTATTCATACTAGAAAATATACATAGGTCAAGGGTTTTGCTCCCTTTTTTTTTTCCTCTCAAAACCCTGAGCTGGATATGGAAAACTTCTGTATAAAATTTCATTGTAGTTACTGGAAGAACTAGCTTTTAAGCATGATAACTATCTATTTCTTGTTTCTTAGGGAATAACCAGAGTCAGAAAGTTCCTGGCCTTACAGAGTTATTTTCAACCAGGCTAGTTTATGTTCACCAGTTCTGTCTTGTCATAAATGTATTGCCTAAAATGTTTTTAATAACTCAGCAAATAAGAGGGTCATCCAAGAGTAGGATTTTATTTCTGATTTTCAAATTATCCACAAACTTCTAACTAAATCGTACTAAAATTTTTTATATGCTGAAAGTTAACGTTTGGGACCGTATTTGCTTTTATTTTATATGAGCTCAGGAGATGACATTTTCTTTCAGTATCATTGTAAATTTCTTCATTCTAAACAAAGTTGAACTTTTGAGGTCTCTAAATGAGTCCTCAGGGAGTAATGTTTTCTAGCATTTTGACAAATGGAGGACTTTAGAGGGAAAGGTTAGATTCTGTTTTAGGCCTGATTTTGGTACTTAAACATTAAAAAGCTCTAATATTAAATCTAAATTGAACATATGTCCACTGCTCAAAGGTTATTTTTTTACCTATAAAAAAATAGGTAAAAAAATAGGTTTTGTTTATTCCTTCGTTATGAATTCTGACATCACTAAAGTCCTCTGAGAAACATATTTGTTTTTCATGGGTGGTTTTTGTGTGATTACAGAGCTCTCTGTAGGTATGGGGTAAAGTCATGGAGTCCCCCTAGTGTGCATTCACTTGCACTTACCTGCAGTGTATATCATCTTCTGTACTGTTGCCCAATTACTTTAGTTTCCTGGAATGCTTCACAGTTCAAGGTTGGTATCTATGTGGTACATCTTGGCTCATAAGGGTTCTGAATATTGTCAGTCTGAATGGAGTATTTTTTGATAGTCTCTCCTGTCCTAGCTTTTCCTAAACAAAATAGATTTTGCTATTTAAAAAACAAAAACCTAAGATCTGACATTTTATTAATATTTGTTTCTTAAGGGGTAGTGTTTATTCAACCAACGTTGAGTGAATACCTGTGTGTCAAGTTCTATGTTAATTTTTTAAAAAACATTTCAGAGAGAGCATGTGAGCAAGCAGGGGGAGGGGCATGGAGAAAGGGAGAGAATCTCAAGGAGACTCCATGCCAAGTGTGGAGCCTGATGTAGGTCTCAATCCTATGACCCTGAGATTATAACCTGGGCCAAAACCAAGAGTTGGACACTTAACTGACTGAGCCACCCAGGAGCCCTTCAATTTCTGTTTAGACACAATTCCTGCCCTTATTGTAGGCTTATATCCTAATGTATAGGAAAATATTATAAAATTCCCATTTCACCAGCCTCACCCACCCCTGTCCCACAATCATGTTTGTCCTCTGTATTTAGGGATCTGTTTTGGTGTTTTTGTTTGCTCATTTGTTTAATTTTTTTAAAAGATTTTATTTTAAAGCGAAAGAGTAAGCACTGGTGGGGGGAGGGGCAGCAGAAGAGGGAGAGAGAGAAGCTCAAGCAGACTATGCTAAGGTAGGAGCCTGATGTGGGACTTGATCCCATGATCCTGAGATCATGACCTGAGCTGAAACCAAGAATTGGACACTCAGCTGAGTGAGTCACTGAGGCAGCCCTGCTCATTTGTTTAGAGAGCACATCTAAGTGAAATCATACGGTATTAAGTCTTTCTTTGTCATTTGCTTGGCATAATACCCTCCAGGGCTGTCCATGTTATTTCAGATACAAGATCTCATTTTTCTGTGGCTGACGATTATTTCATTGTGTCTCTTTATTACACACGTACATATATAAACACATACACATAAACACATACACACCAGATCTCATCCATTCATCTATTAATGGACATGTGTTTCCTCCATATCTTGGGCTATGGCAAAAATGCTGCAGTGAACATGGGGTGCATACATCTTTTGGAATTAGTGTTACCTTTTTTTTTTTAAGTTTATGTTTTTTATTTATTTATGATAGAGAGAGAGAGAGAGAGAGGCAGAGACACAGGCAGAGGGAGAAGCAGGCTCCATGCACTGGGAGCCCGACGTGGGATTCGATCCCAGGTCTCCAGGATCGCGCCCTGGGCCAAAGGCAGGCGCTAAACTGCTGCGCCACCCAGGGATCCCAGTGTTACCTTTTTTGTTAAATATCTAGTAGTGGAATTACGGGGTTGTATGGTTTTTTCTATTTTTAGTTTTTTGAGGAACCTCCATACCATTTTCTAGTGATTTCACCAATTTACACTCCACTAACAGGATTCCTTTTTTTCCATATCCTTGCTAACACTTTTCTTGTCTGTTACTAGCCATTCTGACAAACAAGGTGGTATCTCGTAGTTTTGATGTGTTTCCAGCGATCAGTGATATTTGTTTACTCAGGTCCTCTGCCCATTTTTTAATTGGATTGTATTGGTTTTGGTGTTGGGTTACAAGTTCCTTATATATTTTGGATATTAACCCCTTATCAGATATCATTTGCAAATAATCTCTCATTGCCTTTTCATGTGCTTGGCAGAAATTTTTATTTTGGTGTAGTTCTTTTTTTTTTTTTTTTTTTTTTTTTTTTAAGATTTTTTATTTATCCAGAGAGAGAGAAAGAGAGGCAGAGACACAGGCAGAGGGAGAGGCAGGCTCCAAGCCCGACGTGGGACTCGATCCAGGGTCTCCAGGATCAGGCCCTGGGCCGAAGGCGGTGCTAAACTGCTGAGCCACCCGGGCTGCCCCAGTATAGACATTTTAACAATATTCTTCCAATCCAGGAGATATGGCCTGTTTTTCAACCTGTTTGTCTTCGGTTTCTTCCATCAGTGTTGAATAGTCTTCACAGAGTACAGGTCTTTTACCTCCTTAGATTACTCTTAAGGTATTTTGTTCTGGTAAATGTGGTTGTTAATTTCTTCCTGCTACTAAGTGTATAGAAATGCAACAGATTAATTTACAGAATCTTCATTTGTTCTAAGAGTTTTTTGGTGGGTCTTTAGAGTTTTCTATATAAAGTATCCTGTCTGCAAATAGGGACAGTTTTGTTTTTTGTTTTTGTTTTTACACCAATGTACATGCCTTTTTTTTTTCTTATCTGCTGTGGCTAGGACTTCCAGTTCTTTTGCATAGTTTTGATTGTAGTGCTTAGAATGTAAAAAGTTGCACAGGTTATCATTAAGTACACTTAAACAGAACACTGAATTTTACTTTTGCAGAAAGGCAAACAGATAATTTGAAGTCTTTACTGCAAATTAGAATTGTTTAACATTTTTGTCCCAAAGTAAGCTCATAAAAATGATATCTATATATTATATATTAGGAATTGTACTTAAAAAGCTGCATATAAAAAACCTTAAACAGGGGATCCCTGGGTGGCGCAGCGGTTTGGCGCCTGCCTTTGGCCCAGGGCGCGATCCTGGAGACCCGGGATCGAATCCCACGTCAGGCTCCCGGTGCATGGAGCCTGCTTCTCTCCCTCTGCCTGTGTCTCTGCCTCTCTCTCTCTCTGTATGACTATTGTAACTAAATTAAAAAAAAAAAAAAGATTTAAAAAAAAAAAAAAAAAACCTTAAACACCTTATCTTTTTTAAATAACAAGCACAGTATATTGATAGTTTTGTGGTTAATACCTAAAACTTTATGTAGTATATACAAGTGTCTTTATTATATATATGTAGTCTTAAAATACCTTTTTATCTTGACAGGAAATGCACAATTTTGAGGATGAATTAACATGTCCCATTTGCTACAGTATTTTTGAAGATCCTCGTGTACTACCATGCTCTCATACATTTTGTAGAAATTGCTTAGAAAACGTTCTTCAGGCATCTGGGAACTTTTATATATGGAGACCTTTGCGAATTCCACTCAAGTGCCCCAATTGCAGAAGTATTATTGAGATTGCTCCAACTGGTATTGAATCTTTACCTGTTAATTTTGCATTAAGGGCTATTATTGAAAAGTACCAGCAAGAAGACCATCCAGATATTGTCACCTGTCCTGAACATTACAGACAACCGTTAAATGTTTACTGTCTCCTAGATAAAAAATTAGTTTGTGGTCATTGCCTTACCATAGGTCAACATCATGGTCATCCCATAGATGATCTTCAGAGTGCCTATCTAAAAGAAAAGGACACACCTCAAAAACTGCTTGAACAGTTAACTGACACACACTGGACAGATCTTACTCGTCTTATTGAAAAGCTGGAAGAACAGAAATCTAATTCAGAAAAAATGGTTCAAAGTGATAAGGAACTTGTTCTCCAGTATTTTAAGGAGCTTAGTGATACATTAGAACAGAAAAAAAAAATTTTCCTAGCTGCTCTTTGTGATGTTAGCAATCTGATTAATCAAGAATATACTCCACAAATTGAAAGAATGAAGGAAATGAGAGAGCAGCAGCTTGAATTAATGACCCTGACAACATCTTTACAGGAAGAGTCTCCACTTAAATTTCTTGAAAAAGTTGATGATATCCGCCAACATGTGCAGATTTTGAAACAAAGACCACTTCCTGAAGTACAACCGGTTGAAATTTATCCTCGAGTAAGCCAAATATTAAAAGAAGATTGGAGCAGAACAGAAATTGGACAAATTAAGAAACTTCTTATTCCTGAAATGAAAATTTCTTCAAAGAGGATGCCATGTTCCTGGCCTGATAAAGATGAAAATGAAGTTGAATTTTTTAAGATTTTAAACATTGTTATAGTTACTTTAATTTCAGTGATACTGATGTTGATCCTCTTTTTTAACCAACACATAATAACCTTTTTAAATGAAATCACTTCAATATGTTTTTCTGAAGTCTTTCTATCTGTTTGCCAAAGTTTATCTAACAATCTGCATGATTTAAAGCATATGCTATGTCACACTTTATATTTACTTAAGGAATTCCTGTGGAAGATACTAGTTTCTCGTTGAAAATCCAAATCTGTATTAAATAGGCTTATTCTGTACAGCAGACTAAACCATTATGAAAGGGAGAGTAGGGTAGGATGGCTAAATAAAATAGCAAACTGAGTTATTACAACAAATATATAGATCTGTTAAAACATCCATGCTGCTTAGATGGTGGAAATGTCAGAAATGATAACATAAGGTGCCTAAACCAGAATATCTAGTTAACTTGATTTAATAACATTATCCCATTTTATTTGCTTGAGGTTGACTTTATGGCTGTGATGTTGAAATATTTCAGTACCAATACAGTCTTTTAGCATTATTTTTCTTCTTAGTATATTACTGCAGTGGTTAGTGTTGCAGTTCTTTATGTATATGTAGTTTTTAGATTAAAGATGGCAAAATCCTAATTTTGCCATATATGCCTTTGATGCGGCTTGAAGCCTTTGAGTGGCCAAATAAGGATGGTGAGTAGAGGTTTTAAATTCAAGCAGCAGTCTAAAAGTACTAAGGGATTGTTTACATTAAGGATATTTTTGACTTTGACCAAACACACCTGATACATTTGATATATCTTAGATTTAAGAGCCCTACAGTGTTCATCAGCATTCATTCCTGACAAAGCTATTGCTTTTGGAGATTTAAGTGTTAGAGAACCAACAGTGACCTTTTCAAATGGTTTTATGGTTTGTACAAATTGGACTTTTTGGTCAGGGCTTCAGTCTTGCCAAATTACTTCTTGGATAAAAATTAAAAACGTTACTGGCATAGTATGTTGTTGATAGTCCATCCACATTAGATTTAGGTGGCATCATGTAAACTGTATTTGTCTTAAAAATTTTTTTCTGCCATTTGCTTATGCTTATATCAAAGTATCAATTTAATTTTCTTGAATTTTGATTAAAATGGATATAGTTCTAAAATGCTCCTACTGTCTTATCTACTGAGAATGTCTTAACACAAAAATGGCTGGCTGATTTAAGTCAAATTTATGACCAGAATCAGAATATATCTAGCACAATCACCGGTGTGGAAAAAGAACATTTGGAGATTATTATTTTTTTTTCATTTGGAGATTATTAATAGAGGTCTGTGTGTGGGGATGAATACTAAGGTATTGAATATAAATACAACATATTAACTTTACACTGAATATTAATATTCAGCTAATATCCAGGTAACTAATACTGTATATTAAAGCATTGAAATATAAAATTAACTTTAGACTGAGGTTGTTTAGTGTCAATATAAAAATGATAAGCACTGAAATTTGTTAGCCATTATGTGTCAAGTACTTAAGTTTCTGAAGTAGATATTAACTTTTATTTTTGTAGGTAAGGAAACAGACAAAGTAATTTGCCCAAGTCCATACAGCTAGCATATGGGAAATTCTGTGTATGTTCAGAGTTCCTGCTGTCATGCTACCAAAACGTTAAGCCAAGTTTTTTATGTAGTTAGGGCTAATCTATGTCTAAGAATCATTTATAGCTAAAAATTGAAGCAATACTTAATACATTTTAGGTTTGACATTACCATTTTGTAAGTTGCCAGTTCTTAGTAAGACAAAACTACGAATTTTATATGGTGCATGAATATAGTTAATACAGATAACCAATTCTTACTACATGCTGTTCTGTTCTGTGATTTTTACCAGGAGGATGAAATTGTAAAATTTAAAGTATATAATCTTGAAATGTTTCTAAATTTTGTGTAAGTATGTATTTTAATAAACTTATTTTGCTATTTGCACTGAGTGGCTTGATAAGGAACTCAAATTCAGGAGTAGTAGTAGCTTTGGAATTTTCATATGGGTTATGGGAATTACCTAAACTTTTTTACCTAAACTCTTTAAAATTTATTACATTTTAATAATGTAGAGCTTTAGTACCAGAGTATTAAAAACTCCATTTATCACTATTCTCACCATTGAAAACACTTGATTGTATCTTTACTCTTTTCTTTATATAATCTGGATTTAAAACCATACTTGAGTTCAAATCTTTAAGTGCATGCTAATGTATTTACAGACTTAATGACTGTGCTATGATACAAGCCACCTTTATTGGATCTTTTTAGTACTTAAACAATGGCCGCTGAATATTGAACCAGTAACTTTTAGTTTTAATTCCTTAGGATCAATATCTAGAAATCAAATAGCTAAGGCAAAGACCTGATACCATACCTGAACTCATCTTGAAAACCAAGTGGTTGGGCAGCCCTGGTGGCTCAGCGGTTTAGTGCTGCCTTTGGCCCAGGGCGTGATCCTGGAGACCCAGAGATCGAGTCCCACATCAGCCAGGCTCCCCTGCAAGGAGCCTGCCCCTCTCTCTGCCTCTCATGAATAAATAAAATCTCAGAAAGAAAACCAAGTGGTTGCCAAGTTCCAGCAACACTGTTAACATTGAGCTGATGCAGTGCAGAAGAGAAAAACACTCTGTCTTAGTTTGTAGGGGGGACATACTTATTTCTTCTTATGAGGCAATGACAGTAGGTATTATTCCTTTTTAATCAACGAGTATCTTATAGTCATTCATTTTCAGATCATCTCAGTTTTCTGGCCCTCAAAAAAAGTTCCCAGTGTTGGGTAATAAATACAATGAACTACTAAAACGGTACTATCTTAAGAATTTATTCAATGGTAGTTGGCAGGCTTTTCAAGATCCATGATGGTATGCTGCGACAAAGTGATCTAGCTTAGAACTTTACTGTTCATGAATTAACACTTCTTTTAACTCTGCTGGTAACAACCTGGAACTAAGGACAAATCACCTGACCCTCCCAGGCATCTTATTTTCTCCACAGCCTGCTGCTTATAAAATTGTCAGATTCTTACAGTCTCCTAGAAGCGGGTATATAGAATATTTTATTAGACTTTGTCTTAGGATCCTAATAGCATAAAATAGAAACCAGTTAGTTACATGATCCAGTTTAGGAATATATATTTTACATAATTTATAATCCTTTACAAATAAAAAATCTCAATAATACAATATGCTGAATTTATACTGATCCGATTTGAGGAATCTGGAGTATAAACAAATTCAACAAAGTCCTTTAGATGCAATTTGTTTTGGGTTTACTGCAACACTTTTTGTTATATTGTATGTCTTGTATATTCCAATAAGTCTGTCTGAAATCTCAAACATATTATTTCGAAGAGAAATTATTATGAACTGGGCATTTTTTGTTTGTTCCTAAGGAGAAAGAAAAAATAGATTAGAAGTATTATCAAGTAAACACCTAAACTTATCTGAAATGTTTTTTCTGGGCAATAAATTCAACATTACTTTGATAATTAACATGAACAGGAATGATGGCATGGGTATAATTCATGACACAGTATTTGAGTCTGAGAGGAATTTGGGTATTTTTGGAAGAAGCAGAGTGGCCTAGACGTCTTCTAGTGGAAAAAAGATCTAAGCAGGAGACTAGAGATTCTAGTTGTGTTTCTGCTACTAATTTATACCATCGATTTATACTTTACATGTCCAAATTGGGAATATTTATTTCAAATAAAGGACTTGGTCTCTGATACATAGGACATGGCATTAGAGTATAGGGGGAAAGCTCAAAAGTCAGTCAACAAATTCTATGTGTATCGTTAGGGGAACCTATAAAATTCTCAGAATGAAAACCTCTAAATGATTACTTACATATATATAAAATGCAACAATGGACACATTTTTAAAATCAAGGGCTGCATCGATCTCATCCATGAAGTACAGAGGAGTGGGTTTGTAGTGGTGAAGAGCAAATACTAAAGCCAATGAACTAAGTGTTTTCTCTCCTCCTGAAAGATTGAAGATCTTCTTCCAACTTTTCTTAGGTGGTCGAACACTGTATTAGGAAAATCTCTTATTAGTCAAATTACTTGAAAAACTAAAGATTTCATGATTTGTCTTCTGTAACAGGCTTCTATCTTTCTTGGAGTTCTAATTTGCTTTCACAAATCTAAACTTTTTTGGGGTTACTTTATAAAAATCTTACTGGAGAGTCAAAACACAGCACACCTGCCAAAATTTTAAGATTTAAACAGCAAGCCAGTAAACACTTCTTGCTGTTCTCCATTTCCAGTGCATTTTTTGGCTTTGCAATTTTAAAGTCCTGATGTTAAACTGAAATGGCTCAAAAATTTAAAAAAGATGAACTACAGAAATACTGTGTAAAACATTTACTGCTTGCCTAGAATTTATGCTGTAAACTGCCAGTATGTAGATAAATTATTTACCATCAAATAAACTATAAATCTAATCTTCACCTCTCACTCTTTTCTTTCTTTTTTTTTTTTTTTAAAGATTTTATTTATTTATTCATAGAGACAGAGACACAGGCAGAGGGAGAAGCAGGCTCCATGCAGAGAGCCTGATATGGGACTCGATCCAGGGTCTCCAGGATCACGCCCTGGGCTGCAGGCGGCGCCAAACCACTACGCCACCAGGGCTGCCCTTCATCTCTCACTCTTAAGAAATACTGAGAGTCTGGAGAATATGTAGAGATCTATAACAAGAAGATCCAAAACTCAGTACATAATTACAAACCTGAACATGATTCCTTCAGAGAAAGGATCCAAGCTGTCTACAAGTTCCAGTTCAGCATCACCTCCCAGAGTTAGCATTTGGTAGTTTTCCTTTAGTTTATTTGTTATTATATAAAAACCTGCCATGAATTCATTAAGCCTTTGTTTCCGAAGATCTTCATATGCCTGTCTAAAATGATCTCTTTCACAAGTAATTTTGTCCAGTTCTGCTACTCGCTGTAAGTATAATTCTTCCTATGAAAAGATTGAGAAAAATATCTATTCATTTACGAGTTAACACTGCTCGCTTTATTTATTTATTTACACTAATTTAAAATTAAGGCTCACAACTTAGGCTAAGGACTAAAAAAGAAATAGATTAAGTTATTAACAGTTTATTCATACCTTCTTTTTATACTCTGCAATGGCACCAAGGTTTGGTTTCATTTCATGACACTGGGCTTCTAAAAGTGCAATTTGATTTGTTATAGAATCTGGATTTTTGATTGCTTCAAGATCCTCTGGGCTTAGGACTGCAATCTCTTCAAGAGGATTATTTTCTATGGGATGCAGGGATATTTTTGCAATCTAAAAGTTCAATTCAGATGAGTGTTAGGGAAGGCACAGAACTATATAATTCATTACTTAAAAAAATCCATTCACAATATGACAAATTACTTATCTACTAAATATATACTAAGGAACTGTGGCTAATTTCTCTAGCAATTATTTTTCAAAGGACATCAAGAAAAATAGTTGTAGTGTTCCAAAGTGTTCATATAGACTTTTGTTAAAATCTCTGAATCAGCTCTGCGGTGAAAATGTTGACTAATGGAACCATTACCCAGATTTTTCTGTATATAACAATTACTACATATTGTTCATTATATCCCCTATATACCAGAGAAATGATTATCTCTTGAAATTAAGAACCACAGCCTCTCAAAAATACAAAATAGAAATAAGAAACGTAACTCTTTTTCATAAGGCGTATTTTAAAATGACATTTAACCAAATGGTAACAATCTTACCTCTTTTTGCCAATATTTTAACTTAGAATTATGTTCAGCAATGTGACCATCTATTTGTTCAAGTTTCAACTTAATACTAAGTGCATCTTTTTGAAGAGCATGTTCATTTTCTTGAATTATTTTCAATTCTTGAAGTAGATTACGATGTTCTTTCTGGATCTCTGGTAAGGACTCCTAAAAACCAAGAAGAACTACTACAGATATGATCTTCCCACATGGAAAGAACAGGTATATTTACATTACAGAGATGAAGTAAATGCTCAGTCCCTTTGCCCCTTCCATTTTAAGTCTATTTACAGAAAAGTTACAGTACTCTTTATTTTTAAAAAGATTTTATTTATTCATGAGAGGCAAGAGAGGCAGAGACACAGGCAGGAGAAGCAGGCTCCATGCAGGGAGCTCAACGTGGGACTCAATCCCGGGTCTCCAGGATCAGGCCCTGGGCTGAAGACAGATGCTCAACCTCTGAGCCACCCGGGCTGCCCCCAGTACTCATATTTTCATTGTACAAATGTTACTTATAGAAGTTTTGAGCTAATGAGTGCTTACTATGCAAGGTATAAATGTCACATATCCAACTCTTTAAATTACTTCAAAAACCATTCACACCCATCTCCAAGTCTTACCTCTGCGGCAGTTGTATTCTGATAGACCTCTGCTGCTTTGTCCTCAACACTTTTTAGTTCTGCTGTTAAATCCTTTACTTCTTTCTCAGTGTCTTTTATTTCTTCCTCTGTGCGGAAGACTGAGTCTTGAGCTTTTTTAAGATTTCTAAACAAGCAAAATGATATATTAAACATGTAACATGTGATTTGTTATTCTTATGAAAACAAAAAAAACCAGATTTTACTATCACAGATTTTTAAGATTTATGATTAAACTGCCCTTGGAATCGTTTTTATGTTATACATAAATTGCAGATTCTTAAATTTCTCAACCCATGAAGTTATACCTCAAGTTATATTATAAATAATACCTCCCAGTTAGGGCAAGGTGTTTCCCATGGTAACAACTTTGGGAAGGGAACAATAACTATTTTTTCCCTTAATGAAGTTACTTTTACTTTGACCTGTGTGTTTAAGTAAACTTCTGCTCCTAACAAACAAATGGCTTATTAGTGCTTTATATACCTTTGAGCCAGACACTAGAGTAACTTAGATTACTTCTCAGTCTAATTTTAAGATAAAACAGTCGTTCAGTTT